CCCTCCTCTCTTTCTTTGGGTTTAGGTATCATTAGTGTTAGCACCTCCTGGGATTATAGCCTTAACGGGCTTCTAGGTGATGTCTTCTCTTGTAGCCGCCTTTGGGAGTCCTCTCTGCTGGATTCCTTAGGAGAGAACGAATGCATAAGGACTCTGCTTTTCCCCTGCAAAGTAAGAGTCCTTGATGATCTTTCTTTGAGCAGATTAGGGCATGTTGTTCCTTTCACTTTCATATTGTAAACCTACATTTCCTGTCCTTATTCCTGTAGCAATGAAAGAGCTTTACTTTAGAGTACTGACTTGGCTTCAGCGGTCTTTTTTCCACTCCTAGGAAACAGTTTGAATGTGTCAGAAGAGTCCCAGATTCTTCAGAACTGTGTCTGGCTGAGAGCTGCACCGTGCTGGTCTATAGTATTTCTCTCATTAAAAGCCTGTTTCTTTTTCTTCTTCTTCTTTTTTTTTTTTTTTAAACAAAGTCATCTGTGAACAGTAACAAAAGATTAATTGTGGAGAGCTGGGACTTGGCAGAACTGCGTATAAATGAAGTGCTTTTTTGGAAGCTACACTGCCTGTCTTGCAGATCAAAAAATAAACGTGAAGTATTTCGATGTGTATCCGTGGATTAATTCATTTGAACTGCTACTTCCGTTTTTCTGTTCTTTGTTGTTCTGTTCTGGAAGGGAGTTCCAGAAATTGGAACTTTAATTGCTCGACCGCAGTTTCTAATTTGTGGTGCACCAAAGGGGCAGAGATCATTAATTAGTACTGAATATAAGGATCTCTGGAGCTAAGCTATAGCATCAGATGGCTGAGTTTAGGCAACTCTTGACTGAAATTACAGGCTATCAGTAAATGGAGTTATAATAATGAAACCATTTGAAATTTTTCGCAGTCTCTGCAAGTTGAATTCTGTGTTCTTGGAATACTTCCTGATGGTCCTTCAGAATTTAATAATTTTATATACTATATGTGTATATATATGCATATACATTTATATAAAAAATGTATGTTCTGTTAGTATGTGTATACATGCCTAAAGAATAGGAAAGAGTAATTTTACGTAATTCAGAGTTATTATACAATGACATGCCTTATTTCTTTTTATTAAATAGTCTTGGGTTTCAATCCATTAGGTAGGTTCATTGGCAGTTAAAAAGTATGTGAAAACAATGTTCTCTGTAACTTCTTTCTTTTTTAGTCACTGCCTGTATTTGTATTACTGGATCCAAGAGGCAACCCTAGGTGCTGAGTGTAATGGTCTGAAAACAGAATATTATCAGCATTGCTACTTTAAGGTTCAATAGTATGTGTTATATTTTTTCTGGTATTAAAACTTGATGATGGAAGTGAATTGTATAACTTCAGTTAACATTGCTGCATTCAAAATTCCCTGATAGTGCCATGCAGAATATAAATATGCCTATAATACGTAGCGGCATCAACTTGTTTTTTTACTAGAAGGATTAAGAAGGGGTTCATGGACAGATTGCAGAATGCAGACCGGAGCGGGGTCAGCATATATTGCTACGTGTGTAGGGTTCCTGGTGCGCTGATATAAAGCATAATGTTTGGCGGTATTTGCATCCGGCATCTAGAGGTAAATAGGGAATCATTACTGATAAAACGTGTGGATCATCTGAACAGTGTGTACCTTATCTCAGCTAAATGCATAAACTGGGCTTTAATTATGGCCATGTAACTGCAGCTATTGACCAGGCCAAATAGAAAACAGTGGCTCTGAAATTTAAATAATAGAAAAAGAATTATATAATTGGGTCAAGTTCTGCCACCTGTTCCATTTACACATCACATTTGTGTATTTACATGTATTCATCTGAGAGCTATTAAAAGATGAAACACATGGGACTATGCCGGAGCCTTAAAGTCTATTTTGTGAAACCGAACAGAATTCAGCGACAAATCTAGACAGCTATGCTAGGATTTAGTGGAAAGTAGGGAGTACTTGGTAGAAATCTACTAAAATCCAATTTCTTTCAGACAGAAAACAGACCCACTTTATTTTTTAATTCTCCTGTCGAATTTTGTAGCAAGGATGGTGTTAAGCAGTGTATTATTTTACCAATGCGTTAGTGGAGCTTTGTAAATCTCTGGGTGTGAGTATCCATTCCCCATGGGAAGTCAGCAGAAAATAGATGTCTGGGAGTTCAGGTGTTGGCAAGGGTTTTCATAGGACTTTTTCCTCAAGGTAATTTTCTTGGCCTGTGCTGAGTTTGGGACTCGGTTTGTGGAAAGAAACTCTGCTCTCTTTTCTTGGTAATGTGTCCTCTCTTCACTGTAATAGTCTAGCTGCCTGTCATGAATTCGCCGGTGCTTTGCCTGGAAACTTGACTTCTTGGCACGTGGAAGGGAAGGCTCTTTTCTCCTATCCCCATGCCTTGGGAATTAAATTCACGTTATGTGTTCCCACTTAGTACTTAGGTTTAGAGCCAATTTTTTTACCTTAGCTTCCTTCCTCCCCTCTCCCCTCTCTCTTTTTCTTAATTGAAAGATGCTCAGGTCTAGTGCATAGGGCTGCAGCTGAAGGAGGATGAGAACTGCACATGTGAAGTAGCTACAGGATTGGACCTTGATTTAGCGTCACATTTGCTGGCACATCACTGTAACAGAGTTCAAAAGCCTATTGGACTACTTTTTCAACAGGATAATTGGTAATGTCTAATTTTAAAAGGAACAAAATTCTGATTGTTTTCAAGCCAGATTTTTACAGCTTTGGCCGTCCTCCCATTTGAGTCAATGACAAAATCGTATTAGTTCAGCAGAAGCAATATGAGATTCACCTCGTCTCTATCTGTGTTTCCCAAAGGCTGTGAAAGTACAACCAAACTGAGATGCCTGCTGTTAAAAACCGAATCCATGTGGCACTGACAAAAACCCCATTCTTTCAAAAACCCCAACATTCATTGCCTCTGAAAATCAGATAATTTATGGAGTGTCCAGAAATGAGCACTGGTTTTGAGACTTAGGGGCCTAAGATTTTAGGGTAATGGAATCCAGGTAGATATGTGCAAAAAGATCATAAAATCAATCTTAAAGCCTTTTGTCTTCCTAGTCTCTGGAAGCCCATTAGAGTCTCCTGACAGCCATTCTCTGAGCAGTAAAGAAATGAATTTTCATTACCTAGAATGGTATGGGACGAAGAAGCCAAAGCAGAACTGATGAGTAGGATGGTATTTCTGATAAATTATGAAAAAATTTATTCTTCTCAGAGAAGAATAGTCTGGAAAATAGGTAAACAAATAAGTCTTTGTAACCTTATAGCTGAAGCTAGCAGAGTTAAAAAAAAAAAAAAAGGATAGAGCAAAAGCAAGATATTTTAGAAGAAAGATGGTAATAGATGCACAGGGATCCTGGGATCTTTAGTTTTGCACAGGTATCTCTCTTAGTAAAGCTGATATGAAGTACATTGAAAATAGTGCTGAAATCACCAATCTTATTTTCTGATAGAAACACTGTTCTTGTTTTTTATTCCTCTGAATACTTGCATAACTTTTACTCTGAACTTCAGAAAAAAATCTGTTTTCCCTAATTTAACCTCCTTCACCACTCTGCCCTTTTGTAATTTCTCCACCTTTTTGTTATTAAATTATTCCCAGACTCTTCAACAGAACTGGCATGATGATCTGCACTATTTGCTTGAAATTGTCTCCCATAGTATTTTAATAACTTCCCCAAATAAGTTCATGGTGCTACTGCCCTTTGAGTTCATGTGGTGGCTGCTCGAGTCATGAGTATAATCAACTGACAATAGCTCGTTAGCCAGCCAGCGAGGCCTGCTGCTGTCAAAATTGCATAATACATCTACGTGAATTAGATATATACATTTAACTGGTGCGCTTAAATGTGAGATCTTTTCTTGGTTGAGCTCTTAGTTAGCTTCCTGGAGGAGAATGAAACTGTGGCTGGCAAAATTTGCCTAGCACATGAAATTTGGTGCAAGGCTGACTCTAGTGAGAGGCTGAGATGGAGCATCCAAACCAGAGCGAGCTGTTGGATCAAGTGGACCAATTTGAATATGTTCTGAGAACAAGGTGAGGTACCAAGCAGCGAGGACTGTCCAGGTCACCGTTAGGAACCGGGCTGTGCTACCCAGGAGTGCGGCAATGCTGAGAAGGGCTTACAGCAAAACTAGCCGTGAATTCCCAAAAGAGTTCAAAAACAAAAAACCTCACTGCGGTATTTGCCTGCTGAAGAGGAGAATATGATGTACAAGCATAAGCACATTGCTTTTGGTATACAGTACAAGAAATGTCCTTTGGGAATGCTATATTCACTTTTCCTGTCTGTACAGAAGAAAGTGTTGTAAGGGGCTCAGAACAGATCTAATCTGGTACCTCTCGTGCCGTGAACGACTTGAACTCAGTTTTATTTACCCAAGGGAAGGTTAACAGGCGACTCAATCTTTGTTTACTCCACATCTGTGTGGACAAGCAGATCAGCTAGAAGAACAGCTTCCAGCAAGCAGAAATACCTGGAGAGATTAGTGGCAGGACACCGACAAGTGCAAACAGAGCGAGAGGGGATTTCTCCGCCCTGGGGGGGGGTTCACTGGAACATTGTAGACGGGGGAACAATAGATTCACTGTCACTGGATTGAATGTCCTCCTAAAGAGGTTTCCTATGCCTCATCCAACCCTCAACTTGTATGTAAGAATTACTAGATAAGGATTTATAGCCTGTGGAGTAGAGATCAGGTGCCTCTCCTGGCTTTACACCCCATGTGGCTCGTAGGTTCTTTTTTCTCCTGTTCTGCTCTTTTCTCCCATTTTGCTCATTGCATGACTTTCTCCCATTTTCTCTCCAGTTACTCATTGCGTGGTATTGAGATAGGCTGGAATCTTTCTGGATTTAGGTCTTACGTATTTGCAGAGCCTGCGATGTTGTGATGCTGGGCAAGTAGAAATAATAAAGCGTGCTAACAGTTGGCATCAATTCGAAGAACTCACACTGGATGTAACTACTGAATATCTGCTTATTTGTTGCCTTTTCTTTTCATAGTGAAATATATGAGAGAAGCAACGCCTTACGTGAAGAAAGGTTCCCCTGTTTCCGAAATTGGATGGGAGACGCCTCCCCCCGAATCTCCTCGGTTGGGCTGTGCATCTTCTGACCCACTGTCGCAGCTCTCTCTCTCCATCCACAGAGACAAAAAAACAATACCGCTCAAGATGTGCTACGTGACACGCAACATGACGCTGTCAGACCCTGAGAACAGGTGAGCAGGGGCTTTTTTGCCCAAGACTGGGGTTTTGCCTTTGCATGGAATCGCTGTTGGTCGTTTCAGTGCTGGGATTGACGAGCAGCCAATCGATTGGCGAGCAGTCCAGCAAGGACCAGTTTAGAAAAGACACGTGGTTGCATCTGAGCCGCCATACACTGGGTTTAGCACCCAGCTCCCAGCAGGGATGTTTGAATTCCCAAGTGGAGCCAGCGTGCTGCTACCCAGCTGTCATCATGGGTGGCAAGCGCCCAGGGGTCTCCGAGTCCGGCCGTGTGTGCCGCCCTGTCCGATGCAAGCCAAGGCCCAGACTCTGCCACTGCTGACCCATGCGAATGTGGGGTTTGGCTCCATCCACTTGAATTAATGGTCAGGCTCTTCAGTTTTTCTCACACAACTTCCACCTGAGATCTCAAGGTGTTTTACAATCATTTCACAGCACTTCTTGGAGGTAGCTGGGGCAATAGGGACTTGCCAGTTTTCGGTAGTGCCAGAAAAATTCTTCAGTGCAGTAATCCAGCATTTTTGTTAGAAATAGATTCATAGGGTTTTATTTTCACCCTGATCAAATGGCTAGTTTTGAAGGAAAAAAAACTGTACCCATAACTGATTTCACCTTCCAGGTTGACTTAATCTAATCCTATTAAATTTTACTTTCTTCTTCTTCTTCTTCTTTTTCTTCTTCTTCTTCTTCTTCTTCTTCTTATTATTATTATTATTATTACTGTTATTTCTTTAATGGTCTGTTTTGTCCATTCAGTTCTGGGTATTAAAATCAAGAATATGAGAGAATTTCTACTAAAAAGATGTGAATGGGGAATTTCTGTGACTTGTCTTTTTTTCATAATGCTAAATATAGGATGAGCTTACTAGGCCTCATTTGTAAGGTACGTGGAACAGCTGCATCACACCAGCGCACTCACTGATCCCTGCTCCAACAGCAGCTGACGAAAAGGGACCACTCAGGTTACGAGTACGCACTGATTCTTCCATCCAAATAATGGCCTTTTTGTTCTTCTCCAGTGCGCTGGCTTATCAAGAAGCTATTCAGACTGCCTTTGAGTCTCAACACTTACATATAGGCATGACTAAAATTTACATTTTCATTTGCAGAGAAGAACAGTGAGAAGAGGGGGAGCAGAAGGGGATTTTGGAGGATGGATTCCCCTCTGTTCTCTTGTACTGCAATTCAGAAACTTTATCAGTAGCTGTGTAATATTCCTTTCTTCACTATATTTGTCGTACCTTCTTCTTAAAGTTTTTTTTTTCCTACACTACCACCATTTATTTTTTGTTAGCGTTGCTTTACTTTGCCTCCATTCTCCAACTCATCAGGTAGTCACTACTATAGTCAGTAATAGTTGGCCACTGCAAAAGTGCAATTGTAAAACAGTACTTAGCACTAGCAGTTTCTTTTTAAAATGTCATTGCAAGTTTAATTCAAGGTGTTAATTGATACAGGCCATTTTTTCTGCACATGTATATGTAATCTAAAATGTTGGGGTTTGACAGCTGTACTGCTGGCCTTGCAGTTTGCGGTTCTCTGCCATGGAGTGTTTCTAAAAAAAGCCAACATGCAAGTTGCCTAGTTTGAATCACTAGAACGTAACAGTGTTTTACAGCTGTTGGTGTTAATCTTCTAGAATTTTTTCCTTCTTTTTTGGCTGGATTATAGTTCTCGGTTTCTATCCCTTGCCTGGTCCTGAAATGTGTTTAAGGGGTAAGACTGATTGAAAGGGATGAATTCTCACTGCGCAAGATACTTTTGTGATGGAGCTGGCTTTCTGGAGTGTACTGCAAATGTATGCATTCTTAGGTGCTACTAGGAAGCAGCGCGTGGGAGAGTCGTGTTGCTTATTATCATGGTTTTCATTTTGTGTTGCTGTCATTTCCTGTGGAAAGCGTGGCTTGTGATATTTACTACAGTCTGAGGTGGATTTTTCCATCCAAGCATGCAGTGCTTCACCATCATGCTGGCTGCGGTGTAATAGTAGCATCCCATGTATTCATGTCTTTACTAATTTATTATTGTTCAACACTTCTGAATAGTGGGACTGATATTTCCCATTGGGAATGGTATTACAGTGCAGTGACCCTCCCCCATTGAAATGTATCCCAGGATAGTAATCTGAGTCCACAAAAATAACTGGATCCTTGTTCACAGCAGAGCCCAGATCACATCCTTACATGCTTGTGACACTTGTGTTATATAACCCAGTGACCTGACACACATAGATCTTATAACTGATGGGGTTGCTTTGCCGGAGTGTTTTGGAAGAGCACTGGTGACAGACTGCCAAAGCCTGTGCTGGCTATAAAAGGGCTTCTTATCTATATCTGAATGAATTTTCAGAGATGACTAAGACCCAGCATGGACATAGAAAGCATGAGTTTCACAGTGCGAGAGTTTTTCCAGCGCAGGTTACAGGCTGAGATTATGTCACAGCAGCATTAGGGGACCAGGCGGCACTGGTTTGACTTTGAACATGAGAAAATAACTGTGTTAAAGGACCCTGAAGGAAATGCCTGCTTTTTTGACACTGAATCATCTCCAGTTCTTAGAAAACTGGGTTGAAATGTGGGTATCATCACAAGCATAGAGGAAGTCACACCCCTGGTTTTCTTACTAGAGCTGGTAGCCCTGCATAGGATTTCTGCTTCTCCTTAAAGATCGGACTGTGTTAAGATAGTCATAGGTCTGTGTCTATCCTCAAATAGTGCGGAGAGCATATTTTTTCAGAGCGGGAGTAAAATTGGGTGCTTTTAGAGCAGCGGTTCTCAGGTGTCTCCTTCATCTGACATGCCTGTGTGTTCACTCTTAAGGAGACAGAGGATTTTTTTCACAGGGCACTGTGGCACAAGTATAGATTTAAAAAGCTTTAAGATACCAAGAAAAAAATCCTGCATAATACAAGCCAATGCCAAGCCTGAGGGTGTAGGAAAATAGCTTTTAATAGTACAAACATGGCAACAGGCGAAAAGATGCAGAAAAGATTTTAGTAGCATCTGTTTGTGTCACGCTCATCTAGACACAGGAGCCATTGTTATATTTTAGGCTGGAATAAACTAGGCTAAAGTAATTACCACTTACATGTGTTATTTGCCTTCATTTTCATAGACAAGTGTCCTTCTCTGTGGCAGCATTAAAGGTTAATGTCGTCCTCACAAGGGAAGGTTCCCCTCTCAGTGAAGGGACATGTGGGAAGGCATTAATCACAGTTAGTAACACAAATAAACAGTAAATGTTACTGCAGTACAACAAGCTTTTCATCAAATTTCTGCTGATGATATTAAAGAACAGGAAAAAAAAGAAAATTGGTCTCTAAGGGGAAATTTGTTCTGTTTGTGGTTTTTGAGTCTTGGGACCTGATATAAAAGTACCTCTGTGCTCAGTATACAAGGCGTGACGTTCGCTGTAGGAAGTGACGCCGTGCTGCGCTGGCTGAAGGTTTTTTTCTTCTTCTTTTGAATTCACCCTAAAATCCTGCTTGCAGTTCATTCAGTTAAGCCCAGGAAGTTTGGGCCTGATCCTGCCAACATTTAGTGCACACCGATTGCTTTCCCACTGGCAGGAGTTCAACGTTAGTGTGGTTCTTAAGGGGAGCTTCAGCAGGGGCTCAGTCTTAGCGATTAAGGTATTCATTGTCATACTCCTTGCAGGATTTGGCACTTCGATAGGGAAAGTCGGATTTTCAGGCTAAGAAAAATGAGCTAAGGACAATTTCACAGTGCAGGCTATAGCCGCACACAGCAGCAGCGCTGGAGCAAGTCCGGGAAGTTTGTGGGGTCTAGCAGAATTACATGGCAGGTGCTCAGAGTAGTAGACAAGGAAATTTTCTTATTCGTTTTCTCTTTAAGGGTTGAATTGAGAATTAGGGTCAGCAGATAAAATTCAGCAAGTATATTTTTAAAATGGTGTGGAAATTGGCTTCCCAGAATTCCCTGGAATGCATTCATCCTGGGCACTGCGTGACCAAGCTGCCCCTAGGCATTCGCTTTCCAGGACTACAGGGAGACGTGAGGCAGATTGCGACCTGGTTACTTTGAAGGCAGCTATGGACTGGAGCTGGTTGATTGTTTTGATTAAAACAAGTTTTTACATTGTGATTCAGTGAAAGAAGTATTTGCAAGACTTAATGCAAAAGTGTCACTTGACCCGATTGATTCCTTTTGCGCATATTCATTCTGAAAACTTTTTTTACATTATTCAGTAACATGTCGGTAATGCACAATAACATTTAGAGTCAGTGAGAACTCACCTTTTGCATTACAATTGGCATGATATGAATGAGGAAGTTGTTACATAAACATGAAGAAAACCTCCCTGTGTGATTCTGAAATGAAATTTCAAAATCTTAAACATAAAATAAATTCTGGTGAATTTGGATGTGTTTACTTTTGTCACAGTAAAGAATGAAAACAAATGTTGAAAGTCCCTTTAAACTTAAAACTTAGCTTCAACTAGTTTTAATATGACATAGTAAAAACAAATCTGAACCAAAAATCTTGAGTCATGAGTGCAAGTTCCAAACATAAGAAGTCAGCAGAAGCGTGTGAAGGTGGGATAAAAATACGAACATCTCTAAGTAGAAGGCAGGGAACCGTGGCATTAGCACAGAACAGAGCAGTCCAAAAATGGACTTACTGAATGTTTTCCTAGTGCATTTTTAGCTGTAAGGCTAATTGTTTGTATAGATGATATGTTGAATACTAGTAGAAATTCCATGCCTTTTTAACAGAACTCCACAAAAGAGGAGTGCGTGCAGTTTGGGACCCGCCACTCTTCCAGGATTCTCCGTTTCACTGTTGCTCTAAAGCACAACTGTTTTTCTTTAGAAGGATTACAAGAAGGAATTAAAAGATGGAGGGTTTTTAGCTTCTGCAGCTCTTGAAGATCACACACATACAGTTTAAGAGCAACCAAGTAGGGCAGAGGGGAAGCGGGGAGACAAGTATTAGACAGTGCAGGACTGTCTGGACATCTTGTTGATTAATGT